AATCACAAAAAAATAAATACCGGTATTAATAATTTGTACATTTATTTATAAATTAAAAAACATATAAAACATTATTCATACACACATAAAATCATTTAAAAAGTTGCAATTATTTATCGTAAAAAATCTATTATTAATTAAACAATTTCCGTATATAATGATTATCAATACCATAACTATTCAGTGGAATAATATAATTAGTATTCATTAATGGTATCTAAAATGTATTAAAAGTGCTTAAAAATAGTTTGTAATTATCACAAAAAAAAATCTACTATTAATTAAATAACTGCCGTATATAGTGATTATAATAACTAATCAGGGACATCGTATTTAGCATTGATTACTGATTATCTAAATTTTAGTTTTAAAAATGTATCAAAAGTTATTGAAAAAAGTATTAAAAGTCTTAAGACTTAGAGAAAAAATTAAAAACAAGATAATTATCAACGAAACTATGGTCGACATTAGGGATACTTCGGGCCACCGCTGGGAACCGGTCTGTAGTTATTACCAGCAATCGGGTTGACAAACGACTGCATCGGATAGGGTCGGACACCACCTCTTGATCCACAACAGCAGCACCGGATCACCGCCGACACCGACATCAGGAGTAGTATCACAACACCGATCGCCTCCACAATCAACAGCCAATCTATAAGACAATTAAGACATTAGACAATGACATCAAAGGTACTATCAATGGATCCTAAGAGGTCTGATACCCGGCTGACACAACACAGTGCCTCTGAAGCCGTCGAAGTCATCGCAATCACCGGACGGCGTGGATATGTCTTTGAGTGTCTCGACAAACGGCGCCACCAATTGTCTGATGGTCTTCGTGTGACCGCATTTGTCGCCCACGTGTTCAACGATACAGTCCTTCAGGTCATTGAAAGCACAGCAATAGCCACGAGTCTCGTAGCTCTTGAGGACCTGATTGCGGGAGTCTTTGAGCTCTTGAGTGAACCTCTGGACACACTTCGGGATAGCGGGCGCCGACATTGCGGTGCATAGGGTGGTAGTGAACGGTTTGATCACATCTGATAAGTCAAAGCCATTGGCCATCAGAGGTGTGGTGATGATCATCATTATGAGAAGTGGTAAGGACTTCATGGTGTAAGGGTTGGTGACACTTGTGGTGAAGACTTTTGGTGATATATATGTAGGAAGTGTTGACTTAAAGCTATGGCTTTTCAATGGGTTTTCAATGGCTGTCTGTATGTGTCATATGATGTCATACTTTGCATACAGTTTTGCAATCTTTTCAATACTTTTCATACAAAACAGGCAAACATTTTGTCGATGTTTTTGAGATCATGTTTCATAAGTTTTTTATTACTTTCTACGGTTTCTTAGACTATGAGAGCACAGGGAGGGGTACAGGGGCTTGAAGTTGTGATAAACTATTTGTTATAGTAATTTAATAGTTATTAATTTGTATAAATTATTTTTCCAGTAAATAGTAAATAGTAAATAGTTATTTTATTTTCCAGTAAATAGTTATTTTGTTTTAATATGAATGTTACTTATTTATAACTATTATTATAAGTTTTACAGTATTTATATAAATTATATGCCTATTACAAAATACATGTGCAAACATTAATCACTAGACTATAGCTGTTAACTAACTATTGAACTCTATTTATAAATGTTAATTAATACAGTGCTGTATATTTTTTCATACCAAAACACAATAATAATATTTAGCCGGCACATTAAATGAATAAATCATTAAATACAGTGCAGAATTGCAAATTAATTCATACAAACAAGTGTTAGTTATAATCACACAAAGAAAACTAAACACTAATAGTAAACAAATAAGTTTTATATTATATTTTAATAACCATTAAATCGATTTAGTATTGAGTATTAAACGTAATGTTAAATGCATTTAAAAATAGTAATTCTTACGAAAAACATACAAAAATTAAAGATAATTATAAGGAAACTAATTGTCATATTAGGGATACTTTATTGAAGCATTTATTCAGATTCCGGCACTACTTCTGTAGACATCCTCTTTAGCCATCACGTGATCCCCGATAACATCGGATCACCACTGAGACAATCATCAGGAATACGATCCCCAGGAATACGACCCCCAAACTAATCGCCTCCGCAATCAACAGCCAATCTATAAGACAATTAAGACGTTAGCCACTGACATAGATGATACAATCAATGGATCCTAAGATGTCCGATACCCTGCTGACACAGTACGATACCCCCAAAGCCCCGGTAGGCATCGCAATAACCCCATGGGTATCCTATCCTTATGGCCGTCTTAACGTAATGGTCGGCCAGTTGTCTTATCTCAGTGTCGCCGCACTTATCGCCCACGTGTTCAACGATACAGTCCTTCAGGTCATTGCAGGCGCAACAGTAGTCGCGGATCTGGTTTTGGGAGTCTTTGATCTCTTGGATGAAAGTGTCGTTACAGTGAGCGATGTCTGGCATAGAAGTGGTGGCGCAGAGGACTGTCTCATTCAAGTCATAGCTATTAACCACAACGGACGCGCATATTATCATAGCTATGATCAGTGGTGAGCACTTCATGGTAAGGGTGTTATGGTGAAGACTTTTGGTGATCACGTTGTGGTGATATGTATGTAGGAAGTGGTGACTGAAATGACTGCAAATCAATGCCTGCCTATTTGTGTGTGTCATAAGTAATCATAGCTTACTCATTGTATTTTACTTGTTGTAGTCATGTTGAACCATTGAATTAACCTAGACACATATTATCAGTAACAATAAATGTATAACTCATGAAAAATCCAAAAATTACAAATTGTTTTATACAAACAAATGTGATTTAATAATCATACAAAGTATATAAACTCCAAAAATAAACTAAAATAATACAATAAAGTCTAGTATTATATTATAATAATCAGTACAAACATGTGTTATTTATAATCATACAAAGTAAACTAAACACTACAATAGTAAACTAATAACAATTAAATTATAATAATCATTAAATCTATTTAGTATTGACTATTAAATATAATGTTAAATCATTTAACTTAAATGCATTGACAAAGTGTTAATTCTTACGAAAAACATACAAAAAAATAAACACAAAATAATTATAAAGAAACTAATTGTCATATTAGGGGTACTCCTGAAACAAATGTTAAGTTTTTTGTTCAGATTCTGCACCATTTCCGAAGATACCCTCTGTAGCCATCACTTAATCAACACAATAGGATCACCAGAAACACAATCATCAGGATTATGATCAATATGGCACCACATGGTACCCAACATAATATGACCACCGCTGAGACAATCGCCAGGGATATGATCGCCAAACCAATCGCCCCCACAATCAACAGCCAATCTATGAGACAATTAAGGCTTTAGACACTGATATGAATGATACTATCAATTAATCCTAAGATGTCCGATACCAGGCTGACACAATACGGTACGCTGAAGACCCTGGTAGTCATCACAATCACCGGACGGCGTGGATATGTCTTTGTGTGTCTCGGCCACCAATTGTCTCATCTCATTGTCACAGCATTTGTCGCCACGTGTTCAACAATACAGTCCTTCAGGTCATTGAAAGCACAGCAATAGCCACGAGTCACGTAATCCCTGAGCACCTGATTCTTGGAGTGGCGGAGGTCTTGGCTGAAAGTGTCGACACACTTCCCGATGTCCACCCCGTGTCCTGTGGTGCACTGGACTTTAGGGGGCACCGGTTTAACCATCTTGACCGCAATGGGCGCGCATATTATCATAGCGATGATCAGTGGTGAGCACTTCATGGTAAGGGTACGGGTGGTGAAGACTGTTTTGGTGATCACGTTGTGGTGATATGTATGTAGGAAATGGTGACTGAAATGACTGGAAAGCAATGCCTGTCTATGTGTGTGTCATAAGGAGTCATAGCTTACTCATTGTATTTTACTCATTGTAGTCATGTTGAACCACTGAATTCACCTAGACATATATTAGAAGTCACATTAAATCATGAAAAATAGAAAAAATACAAATTGATTTATACAAACAAATGTGATTTAATAATCACACAAAGTATATAAACCCTAACAATAAACTAATACAAAAAAGTCAAGTTTTATATCATAATAATCAGTAAATCTATTTAGTATTGAGTATTTAACATAATGTTAAATGTATTGAATAAACATTAATTCTTACGAAAAACATACTAAAAATACACACAAAATAATTATAAGGAAACTAATGGTCATATTATGGGGTACTCCTAGACACGAGCACAGGATCTCATGGTTTTGCTGACATCCTGTACCACCACTGCTGGAGATGCCTTCACTCCCTTAATTGCCACAAATCTCTGACCACCGCTGAGACCATCCCCAGGAATAGGATCGCCAAACCAATCGCCTCCACAATCAACAGCCAATCTATGAGACAATTAAGACGTTAGACATGATAGGAATGCTACTATCACTGAATCCTAAGATATCCGATACCCGGCTGACACAAGGCCCAAAGGCCTGGAAAGCTCCGGTAGTCACGACAATCACCCGATGGGGTCATTATCTGTTTGGCCGTCTCAACGAAAGGGTCCACCAATTGTCTCATCTCATTGTCACCGCACTTGTCGGGCACGTGTCCAACGATACAGTCCTTCAGGCGATTGAAAGCACAGCAATAGCCACGAGTCTCGTAGTTCTTGAGGACCTGATTCTGGGAGTCGTGGAGCTCTTGGATGAAAGTGTTGCCACACTTCCCGATGTTTGGCACAGAAGTGGTGGCGCAGAGGAATGTCACATTATAGTTATAGCCATTGACCGCCACAGACGCGCATATTATCATAGGTATGATCAACGGTAAGCATTTCATGGTAAGGGTGTTGTGGTGAAGACTTTTAGTGATCACGTTGTGGTGATGTGTATGTAGGGAGTGATGAATGAAAATGACTGCAAATCAATGCCTGTTTATGTCTGTGTCATAAGGAGTCATAGCTTACTCAGTGTATTGAACCACTGAGTTCACCTAGACACATATTATTGTATAACACAGTTAAATATATAACTCATGAAAAATCCAAAAATTACAAATTAATTCATACAAACAAATGTGATTTATGAGCACATAAAATTTATAAACTGCAATAATAAACTAATAAAAAGTTTTATATAATATTCTATAATAATAATCAGTAAATCTATTTAGTATTAAGTATTGCACGCAATGTTAAATGTATTGAAAAAGTATTAATTCTTACGAAAAACATACAAAAATTAAACGCAACATAATTATAAGGAAACTCATTGTCATATTAGGGGTACTCCTGAAACAAATGTGAAGTTTTAGTTCAGATTCTGCACCACTGCTGGAGATACCATCTGAAGCTATCACGTGATACCCAACACACTATGACCATCGCTGAGACAATTGCCAGGAATACGATCCCCAAACCAATCGCCTCCGCAATCAACAGCCAATCTATTAGACAATTAAAACATTAGACACCGACATCAATGGTACTATCAGTGGATCCTAAGATATCCGATACCCGGCTGACACAGTACGGCACCCCCAACGCCCCGGTAGTCACCGCAATGACCCGATGGGGTCGCTATCGTTTTGGCCCTCTTAAAGAAATGGTCGGCCAGTTGTCTCATCTCAGTATCACCGCATTTGTCGCCCACGTGTTCAACGATACAGTCCTTCAGGTGTTTTAATGCACAGCAATAGCCACGAGTCCGGTATTCCGAGTGTCGGATCTCATGGATGAAAGTGTTGCCACACATCCGGATGTATGTCATAGAAGTGGTAGCGCATCGGACTTTGGTCACCGCCCCCTTGAACACCTCCATGAGATCCAAGTCATAGTTATCAAACAACCCGTTGACCCCAATGAGCGCGCATATTATCATAGCTATGATCAGTGGTGAGCACTTCATGGTAAGGGTACGGGTGGTGAAGACTGTTTTGGTGATCACGTTGTGCTGATATGTATGTAGGAAATGGTGACTGAAATGCCTGGAAATCAATGGCTAAATGAATGCCAGTACTTGTCATACGAGGCCATAGTTTATTAATAGTAATGATATGTCACTGATTCATCAAGGCACGTCTCATCGCAATTTGTGAACGAACAGGTTATATAGTAGTATACAATTTCTTGATAAATCAATAGTTATACAATATTTCACTTATAGAAAATAGTTACTGTGGCATTTTAATCATTAATTTATTTATTAAACAAATTACATTAAAATTTAATCACAAATGTACACTTAGAAGTACTTTTAAGCATTTATAAATCTATTTAGTATTGAGTATTAAACGTAATGTTAAATGTATTGAAAAAATAGTAATTCTTACAAAAAACATACAAAAAATTAAACAAAAGATAATTATAAGGAAACTGATTGTCATATTAGGGGTATTTATAGCCACTTAGGACTACTTTTATTGAAGTGTTTGTTCAGATTGTGCACCACTTTTATGGACATCCTCTGCGTCTATCGCGTGATACCAAACACAATGCGACCACCGCTGAGGCAATCACCAGATATACGATCGCCTTCACAATCAACAGCCAATCTGTGAGACAATTAAGACATTAGCCTATCATATGACACGATATTATCACAGGTCTTATACCTGGCTGACACAAAACAGTGCCCACATATCCCGTGAATAGATCGCAATCACCGGATGAGACGGATATGTCTTTGACTGTATCGACCACTGATGAGACCAATTGGTCGACCACTTCGTCCTTACGATCGCCGCAGTTGTCGACGTTGTCTACGATACAGGTCTTGAGGTGATTGATGGCGCAACAGTCGCCCCGGGCTTTATACAACCCGAGCTCCTGGAGCTCGCGGATGAAATTGCCGCCACATTTCAGGAGTTTGGTTCCAGACATGACGGTGCAGTTGGTGGAGGAGACCTGTTTGTGCAAGTCGTTTAAGTAGATGGCAGTCACCACTACAGACATTGCCACTGATATTATCAATGTTATGCTCAGTGATGAGCACTTCATGGTAAGGGTACGGGTGGTGAAGACTGTTTTGGTGATCACGTTGTGGTGATATGTATGTAAGAAGTGGTGACTGAAATGACTCGAAAGCAATGCCTGTCTATGTGTGTGTCATACCAAGTCATAGCTTACTCATTGTATTTTGCTTATTGCAGTCATGTTGAACCACTGAATTCACCTAGACACATATTATTCTAACAGTCACATTATATGTATAACCCATGAAAAATACAAAAACTACAAATTAATTCATACAAACAAATGTGATTTAATAAACATACAATGTATATAAATTCCAACAATAAACTAAATTAATACCAAAAGTCTAGTTTTATATTATAATAAAATAATCAGTAAATCGATTTAGTATTGAATATTAAACGTAATGTTAAATGTATTGAAAAGTAGTTATTCTTACGAAAAACATACAAAAAATAAACACAAAATAACTATAGGGAAACTCATTGCTATATTATGGGGTACTGTTAGACATGGGCACAGGATCTGATCGTTTTGCTATAATCAGCTGTAAGAAGCTATACCACCATTGCTGGACATACCCTCTGCAGTACTCCCTTAATTGCCACAGTTTTATGACCACCGCTGAGACAAACACCAGGAATATGATCCCCAAACCAATCACCTCCGCAATCAACAGCCAACCTATAAAACAATTATGATGTTAGACACTGACATAAATGGTACTATCAATGGATCCTAAGATGTCCGATACCCTGCTGGCACAATACGGCGCCCCGAAAGCCCTGGTAGTCATCGCAGTCGCCCGGTGTGGTCGCTATCTTCTTGTCTCTCTTTTCGTCCTGAATGTAAATGTCGACCAATTGTCTCATCTGAGTGTCACCGCATTTGTCGCCCACGTGTTTAGCGATACAGTCCTTTAAGTGTCTGAATGCACAGCAATAGTTACGACTCTGGTAGGACTCCATGGGCTTGTATTTCGGGTATCGGAGATCTCGGATGAAAGTGCTTTCACACATCCGGATGTTTTTAATAAAAGTGTGAAAGCAGAGGAATTGGTCACCATCACCATTGACCGCAATGGGCGCGCATACTATCATACCTATGATCAGTGGTATGCACTTCATGGTAAGGGTACGGGTGGTGAGTACAGTGACCAAACGTCAAGGTTTCACCTTGATTGTCAAGGAATGAAGGTAGCTGTCAAGGTTCAAGGAGGTGTCTATTCCTTGACATTAAAATTAAAATTAAAATGTCAAGGAATTGTAATATTTAAAAATATACAATCATTTACAGGAAATTATTGATATTTTTATATATTGCTTAAATTGTAATTTCAAATCAAAATCGCAAAACAAATATTTTGTATTTCTTGATTACATATCACTGAAATTAATTGAAAATAGCTATAAAATAATAAATGGTATTCCTACAAATTAAAAATGAATTAATCATTTTAAACGGGTGCGGCTCTATTGACCTAATTGCTCTATTGGCTCTAAAAACTTTTGGACCAAACCTTGATTTTCACTTTAAAAATTTACAAAATTCCTTGACAATTCCTTGACAACTTTTTTATTGCGAAAACACTTCTAATTATTTAACAAAATCATATTTTTTCTGAAGATTTTACACTTTATTATTTTTTAATTAGATTTCATTAAGAGCCTACTTTGTGCTTTTAATAGCAGTAATCCCTTCATATTTCATTGTGTACTTCACTGAACAATATTAACACAAGGGATGCGAACAAATCATTTGTTAGCCAGTTAACATTGTATTGTGTCCATCGACTAGATCTAGATTTCTTACGATTTGGTAATACACTCGCTTTCGATGCAATTATTATTATTATTATTTGAAATATTCAAATGGAATTTGTTAACACATTTAAATAACATTTTTGTATGAAATGAAAAACAAAGGTGTGTTTAAAAGGGAACTGGCAAATTGACCTAAACTTAAATAACTTAATGACCAATAGACTTTTGACCATTGTAAGGATAGGTAAAGTTAGGTTAGGTCAAGGGGAACATTTTACACTGGTCATCTGGTATATTTACCTACTGGTCATTAAGTTATTTAAGTTTAGGTCAATTGGTTTTTAGAGCCAATAGAGCAATTAGGTCAATAGAGCCGCACCCGTTTAAAATGATTAATTCATTTTTAATTTGTAGGAATACCATTTATTATTTTATAGCTATTTTCAATTAATTTCAGTGATATGTAATCAAGAAATACAAAATATTTGTTTTGCGATTTTGATTTGAAATTACAATTTAAGCAATATATAAAAATATCAATAATTTCCTGTAAATGATTGTATATTTTTAAATATTACAATTCCTTGACATTTTAATTTTAATTTTAATGTCAAGGAATAGACACCTCCTTGAACCTTGACAGCTACCTTCATTCCTTGACAATCAAGGTGAAACCTTGACGTTTGGTCACTGTACTCACCACCCGTACCCTTACCATGAAGTGCATACCACTGATCATAGGTATGATAGTATGCGCGCCCATTGCGGTCAATGGTGATGGTGACCAATTCCTCTGCTTTCACACTTTTATTAAAAACATCCGGATGTGTGAAAGCACTTTCATCCGAGATCTCCGATACCCGAAATACAAGCCCATGGAGTCCTACCAGAGTCGTAACTATTGCTGTGCATTCAGACACTTAAAGGACTGTATCGCTAAACACGTGGGCGACAAATGCGGTGACACTCAGATGAGACAATTGGTCGACATTTACATTCAGGACGAAAAGAGAGACAAGAAGNCCACACTTACCGGATGTGGTCACCGGAAGTGACCGGAAAACGTGTCCCGGAGATGGTCCCGAAATTACATAGAAAGCGTTAAAATTAAAAAATTATTTTTTGTGCCTAAAATTCTCGGATTATTAGGCTATTCAGTAAAACAAACCGCTTTTGAAAATATTAAGCCATTCCGGAGAAATTTAAATTATAGCCAGAAACAACAATATTGTATCTCCCAATATTATTAAATTAAATTAGATTATTCATAAATTTAAATTATTTATGAATAAAAGATAAGTTTACAAGTTTTATTGTAAACTACGGTATAATGGCAATTATGAACAAGTATGTTTGTTTTAAATACTAACAGCATAGTAATACTTATCCAGTTGATCCAGATCATTGCCAATTAATTTAATCTCATCGTCTGAACACACTTTCATTTGAATGAATATCTTATTATTTTCTATCCATGAGTTGAACTCGTTTTTAATCGCATATTCAGACAATGCTTTAATGTACTTCAAGGTTAGTCCATTACCTAATTTATGTATTCAGAGATAAGATTGTCTTGCAGCAAGGTATTCACATGAATTCTATCAATTAATATGCTTTGGTATTATGACAAATAGTATTAAAGCAGAGTTGAAAAGTACTATCCATTCATATCAACCATACATTAGTACACAGTATATTACAATAAGTCTTACCTAAATATTCTTTCATTTTGCATAACGAATACATTTGTTGAGATATTTTATGTTTAGCCAAATATATTTCATGCCAACCCAGGCCTATCTGGGTGGCCAACCCAGATAATTGTGTCGAAATTATTATAAACATTGATTCGTTAATTGTGTTAATGTCTGTCGTATCTACAAACATAAACACTGTAAATGTCAAATGTTTAACTTTTAAATATTAAACTATAAATATCTAACCATTAGTTATATTTCCATCAGTCATATGGATTATACAAAACGGTTTGCTTTCCATAAATAGTTTGTAAAATATATCACATTTTCTGTCGATAATAGTATTCAATACAGAATTGAATTCTTTATCTCCAATAATG